TCCATCTCGCTGCGTTGGCAAGTGTCCATCAGGAAGGCGGACAACGTCTGTCCTCCACTGTCCACCAACGGTGGCGGGGTTGCGCTCCTGTCGAGACCCACATACTGCCCCAAGTAGAAGTGGAACAGCGCCGGACTGCGCTGCTGCATCATGCTGTCCGAGAAATAGTGGTCCTCCTCCGCCGCGTCCGCCAGAAGCTGCTGTAGCCGAAGGTAGCGGCGGTTTTTCACGACTACCGCGACTCCGCCACGCACGGCGGAGAGACCAGCGTTGTGCTCGGTCCTTGCTTGGGCCATCGACAGCGGCTGGTCGCCCGACGGCAGCTCCAGAGACGCCATGTAGACGTCCATCGAGTCCACCTCCTCCGCGCTCATAGTGATGCGTGACCCACGATTTGCGTCCGATTGAAAGTGCCCCATACTCCATGAATGACACGAAGCCGATCAGCCCCAAGATGTCGTAGTCCGGGAAGTTCAAATAGGCGTCAGCTGTGCCCGCTTCGAACATGAAAACTTCCGGTGTGGGCATCGGAGTCTCGTACGTCATGACCATCAGACCTGGGAATTGCCCATTTGACGCCTGGTAGTCAAACAAATACTCCCACGTGCCCGTGATCTGCTCGGGCTTCGAGTTGGCCACGCCCATGATGCGCGTTGTGTGGTAAAAGTCGCCCAGCCAAATGTACCGATCGCGTTTCGCACCATCCAGACAGACGCCGTACGTATTGGACTGCACGCCGAACTCTGGGAGCACCACACTTTCGTCCGTCATCCGGTTCGAGTAGAGAGTCTTCGACGAGTTATTCAGGCTCGTGGCCTGCACGTTGCGCACGAAGGATGCCTGGTCCTGCCAGCCACCGAAGCCTATAGCGCCTCCTCCAGTTGTGGTGTAACCTTGAAGTGAGAGCTGAGATTCACTAAAGCCAGGTCGGAGATTGTGATGTCCATCACTTGTTGGCCATCCAGCCACAGTTCGAAGTTCCCTGCCGTGGAGTTCACAGCGAGTTTTACCGGATACCACACATTTTCCTTCACGTTGAAAGGAACATCAGAGCGACCCAGGATGTAACTTGTCATACTTGTGGCGTTGACGAAGTCGAATCCGTACGCGAGAGTCACCGTGTTGGCTGGGAACAAGGTGGTGTTCATGTTCACGTAAATCGACTCAACGGGGTACTCGGACGACAAGTGAAACATGAGCGATCCTCGGTTTGCCGCAACGTCGTAGCCGACGTTAAATCCAACACCCCCGCGAACGATCTGGGTCTCAAACTCCAAAGTGTAGTCACTCAAATTCCACGATTTATACGAGACGCCTGGACGCGAACCCGGCACGAAAGTACCGTTCTCCTCCGACGAACTCCAAGACGATACTTGGCTACCGGCATCCAAGCAGGCAGCACTCACTGCACGAGCGCCAAGCTCCCAAATCTCGTTGTACTTGGCGTTGGAACTCGAAAACTTGCCGGGGAGTGTGGACAGATCATCAATTACTTCGATCGAAGCTTGAAGACCGACAGCCTCAAATGTGACGGAGCTGCCGCTCAGCAAGCGCAACGTCTGCCAGCGGTGACCCGGCTGGCTTAACATGGACGTCACCGTGGCGCCGACCTCATCCTGGGTAAAGCGGTGCGTCTCCACACGACGGGAGTTCGCGACAGCCGTGGCGTACTGCGAGGGACCATCCGAGAAGTTGGTTGACAGCACTGGGAATTGCTCCGCGTACTTGACTTCGACGTCGACGGGACCGTTGGAGACTGTGGACACCACGAAATACGGCAGCCCTGCCACCTCGAAGCCGTAGTCAAGAGTTGCGATAGGTTTTTCTGCAGTGAGCGTGAAGCCACTTGAGTACGCGTCGGATCCGATGGCCGGGGTGGTCCCTACAGCAAGTTTCTTGGGCGTGAAGACACCATAGTCATTGTTTGCTCCCACCAAGTGACTGCAGACCGCAAGCAGCACTGTCACGAGCGCTGCCAGCCCGAGCATGGTGGATGAAGACTCGTGGGTTCTCCGATGAAATGATGTACGCGCGAGTGATCCAAACGGAGAATGAACGGAGGTCGATGTGTCAACTTCCCGTCCACGGGTCAGTGGTTGAAGTCTGGAGTATGGTAGAGGTGATCAAGATGTGGAGCATTTTATGTTTGATCGACGTACATCCAGAAGACCGCTAACCACTGAGTAAGGCCTTGCGTCGAGCTCGGCGGGCTATACTAGCGTGAGGAAACACAACTTGTACATCTTGGCATTCTTGGCGTTTCGTGGTGATCAAATCTCGTGCAGTTGCAGTACTGTATCGACGGGAAACGCTAGCATAATCAGTTGACTCAAGGCACGGAAGTTCAATCTTGTCCTGCACCTGCTTCCCTGCCGATCCGCACTGCCGCGAATGATCTGCGACTCCAAGGTAAGCATGTAGTCGGTCAAGTTCCACGTGCGGTACGAAATACCGGGACGCGTGCCAGGCACAAACGTGCCATTCCCCTCGGACGGGCTCCAGGACGGCACTTGACTGTCGGCATCCAAGCAGGCGGCGGTCACAGCTCGCGCCCCCAGTTCCCAGATCGCGTCGTACTTGGCGTTGGAGCTCGAGAACTTGCCCGGCAGAGTGCTCAGATCGTCGATCACCTCCACAGACGCCTGCAGACCGATCGTCTCGAATGTGACGGAGTCACCAGTTAGCAGACGCAGCGATTGCCATCGTTCGCCGGGCTGGCTGAGCATGGAGGTGATGGTGGCACCGATCTCGCTGTCCGTGAAGCGGTGAGTCTCCACGCGACGCGAGTTGGCGATGGAGGTGGTGAACTGCGACGGACCGTCCGAGTAGTTGAGCGAGAGCGCCGGGAACTGCTCCGCGTACTTGACTTCGACTTCAACGGGCCCGTTCGAGACGGAGGCCACTACAAAGTACGGCAGGCCTGCCACTTCGTAGTCGTAGTCGAGCGTGGCCAGAGGTTCGTCCGCAGAGAGCGTGAATCCTCCCGAGTAGGTCTGGCAGTCCATGGACGGCGCGGAGCCCAGTGCGATCTTCTTGGGCGTGAAGACGCCGTACTTGTCGAGACAGAGATCATCCACAGATTTTTACAGTAGACCTCGCGTTACAGGCAAGCAACATGGCGCCGACTATTTTTGATTGCACCGAAGAAATTAATTGTCTACCCGCTCGCGTGGCCCAATGGATACGGCGCTGCCCTCCTAAGGCAGAGATTGCGGGTTCAAGTCCCGCCGTGAGTACATTTTTCGTCAGCAAATCCTACTACTGATCTTACAGTGAAATGGTGGCTTGGCTGTGAGTGCTCCACGCATGATTCGTTTGAATCGCGCGTTGCTCGTTTTGCATGACACTCAGCATTGTTTAACGTCTCGTATGAATATTGGTGTGCTCATTAGATATTTGCCTTCTACTACTAGTTGGCGGCCAGGTTCGCGGCAGCACGTTTGCGTCGCTTGGTGACGGCAGCCGCAAGCTCCTTCAGCGTCGTAACGGTGTCGTCCCAGTTGATGCACGCGTCCGTGATGCTCTTTCCGTAGACGAGCTTGGACGGGTCATCGCCGAGCGACTGGTTGCCCTCCACGATGTTGGACTCGATCATGACACCCAGGATGTTCGTGTTGCCCTCGGCCACGATGCCAGCCAGGTAGCTGGCCACCTTGGGCTGGTTGGCGTGCAGCTTGCGGGAGTTGCCGTGCGAGCAGTCCACCATGATCTTGGACGGCTGCTTGGCCTTCACCAGCATCTCCGCAGCCTCGTCGATGTACTTCTGCTCGTAGTTGGGGCCGCTAGACCCGCCGCGCAGGATCACGTGGCAGTCCTTGTTCCCCTTGGTGCGCACAATGGACGCAAGGCCGTGTTCGTTCAGACCCAGGAAGTTGTGCGGCTGCGACGAAGACACCGCGGCGTCCACAGCGACCTTGGCGTTGCCGCCCGTGCCATTCTTGAAGCCCACAGGCATCGAGAGGCCACTGGTGAGCTCGCGGTGCAGCTGCGACTCGGTCGTGCGCGCGCCAATGGCACCCCACGAAATGAGGTCCGACGTGAATTGCGGCGAGATGGTGTCCAGGAACTCGAGGCTCACGGGAAGTCCGAGCGCGTTCACGTCCAGCAGCAGCTTGCGCGCAATGCGGATGCCCTTGTTGATGTTGAAGGACTAATTGAGGTCCGGGTCGTTGATCAGACCCTTCCATCCGACGGTGGTGCGGGGCTTCTCGAAGTACGTGCGCATGACGACCAGCAACTCGCCGCTCAGCTCGTCCGCGAGCGTCTTGAGCCGCTTGGCGTAGTCCAAGGCAGCCTCCACGTCGTGGATGGAGCACGGACCAACGATCACCACGAGGCGGTCGTCCTGGCCGTGCAGGACGCGGGACACCGCGTCACGCGTAGCGTCCACGAGCTCGTGCACCTCCGGGGTCACGGGCAGCTCCTCCAGCACGCAGGCCGGAGGGACCAGCGGCTTGATGGCGACGACATTGCGGTCCTGCAGGCGCTGGCGCTTGGTGGCACGCTGGATCTCGGGCTCGGGCTGCTGCTGCGCTGTGCTCGGCATCTTGGACTTGACAGGTGCGAGGTAAATTCAGGAATGACAACTTCGATGTGTTTGACAGGCTCTGACGGCCATCAGCGGATTTGTGGAGCAGGGGGCAGTATTTTGCGTATAACTGTACTGCGAGTTAAGTCGCCAAAACTCTGTCAACGTATCCGATACAGTTGTGCACCGACCGGAAATATGCCAGAGCGATAAAGCCACAACGCTCGGCGTACTGAAGGCTTGGGTAGCAGAGTACAGATGAGCAATCAAACGTGTTATTTTTGCTACGACAGAGTCGCCCTACATGCCACATACACGGGATTTCAGCCTGCCGCGCTACGAAACACAGAAGCGAAAACCTGTAACGAGCATTCTCATTACGATTGGATGTCGGTGTACTGTACACTCGGTTCCGGTGCGGCGAGCCCTACCATTCCCGAAATCGAGACCAGCGGATTTGCCGCCGAAAAAGTACTCACGGCGGGACTTGAACCCGCAATCTCTGCCTTAGGAGGGCAGCGCCGTATCCATTGGGCCACGCGAGCGCGGACAAGAGGACGTGCGTCGCGCGTCCACCAGAAAGTTCACGTGGTGCAAAATGTAGCCATTTTGAAGAATTGCATCCCGGGGGTACTATTTTCCTATTGGGGGTAAAGACACTTCGCCACCTGGCAATTGCCTCCATTGAAGCATGCTATAAACTATCACAGGAACGCTATATACAAAAATACGGAAGTAACTTATACGGCAAACGTATGTAAATAACAATCTCAAGTCTGCTCATACTATCGCAGATAGGAGTTTCGTCATCCCGTCCCATCACTTATTGAAGGTTCCATCAAGCCCCCTACGTCAGTCATTTCGTGTTTGGGCAATCCGTAATTGAGCTCGTCACTTCAGAACTCCCCTCCTCGTAGACTATGAGCACCTTCGGCCGCTTCTTCCGCGTGACGACCTTCGGCGAGTCGCACTGCAAGGGCGTGGGTTGCATCGTGGACGGCGTGCCCCCGTCGCTCGCGCTGACCGAGGCCGACATCCAGCCGCAGCTCACGCGCCGCCGCCCCGGCCAGAGCAAGCTCACGACCCCTCGCGACGAGAAGGACACGGTGACCATCATGAGCGGCACCGAGAAGGGCCTGACGCTCGGCACGCCTCTGGCGCTCTTCGTGCCCAACGAGAACGTGCGCCCCAAGGACTACAAGGAGATGGACCTGGTGCCCCGCCCCGGTCACGCCGACTACACGTACCAGATGAAGTACGGCACGCGCGCCAGCAGCGGCGGCGGCCGCGCCAGTGCCCGCGAGACCATTGGCCGCGTGGCGTCCGGCGCCGTGGCCGAGAAGTGGCTCAAGGAGCAGTTCGGCACGTCCATCGTGTGCTGGGTGAGCTCCATCGGCACGGTCGACATGCCGCGCGAGCTGCTGAACGACCCCAAGAAGGCCATTTACACCCGCGAGGACGTGGACACCATCGGCTCGATCCGCATCCTGCGTGACCCGGCCAAGTGGACCAAGGTGGAGGACGCCGCCAAGCAGGTGGAGAACGACAAGGTGTACGACGCCGAGTTCGCCAAGGCCGAGGACGACCTCGCCACGCCCGCGTACATTGACACGGAGGAAATCGTGTACAACCGCAAGGGTGACGTTGTGCCCTCCCCGGACAGCCTGAACGCCTGGCTCACGGACGACCTGATCCCCGTGCGCTGCCCGCACCCGCCGTCCGCTTGCGCCATGTCCACGGTCGTGCGCACGATGAAGGTGGACGAGGACTCGACTGGCGGCGTCGTCACGTGTGTGATCCGCAATGCGCCCGTGGGTCTGGGCGAGCCGTGCTTCGACAAGATGCAGGCCGTCCTCGCGCACGCCATGATGTCCATCCCGGCCACCAAGGGCTTCGAGATCGGCTCGGGCTTCTCGGGCACCAGCAAGCGCGGCTCGGAGCACAACGACCCGTTCTGCGCGGGCACGGACGGCAAGCACCCGGAGAAGCTTGGTGTCACCAAGAACGACGCCGGCGGTGTGCTGGGCGGCATTACCAGCGGCGCCGACATCTACTTCCGTGTGGCCATCAAGCCCGTGTCGACCATCGGCCGCGCGCAGCCGACCGTCGGCTACGACGGCAAGGAGACCGTGCTGGAGGCCAAGGGCCGTCACGACCCGTGTGTGCTGCCTCGCGTCGTGCCGCTTGTCGAGTCCATGGCTGCGCTCGCCATCGCCGATGCCGCCATGATTCAGCTGGCACGTGACGGCAGCAAGCAGGACGAGCCGGCACAGAAGAAGCGCAAGCTCTAAGTAGGCAGCGCCAATTCAGTTCGAAAGACGTGGTGAGAACCCCCCCCTGCGTGGCAACCACATAGATAACGCTACCAGCGAACTCAAAAAGCAGTTTTCATTATGTTAGTTATGCAAAACGCTTCGTGTACGACTCGATTCGCGGCTACGAAATTTTCCATGCTGCCAATACGCGAATGTGCATGGAGATAGCACAACTGCGCGCTGACTGATACGGATTTTTTTCCCTCTCTTCCTCTCCTTCACTCGATCAATGCCCAACTCGTCCAGTCTCTCCGGATCGCCCTTCCTCTTTAATGTCACTTCATGCCCCATCCAGTTTTATCGCCATTTCCCTCCGGCCCCGCACCACTCCTGCGTACGACTGAAAGACAGTAGTCACGACTGACAGTAGTCGCGACTGCTTCTCGGCAAACACTTTTGAGCTACCAATTCCTCACCTCACAGGTGTAAGCAGGACAAGGCACTACTATGCTTCGCACTGTACGATGTTTCCCCGGTATGTTCTTCACAGCTACAGATGTCGATTCACCTTCACCGCGTTTTCGGAAGGATGGCACACGCAAAGAGCAAGCTTAAATAAGCGACGACTCATTGCTCAGCACCCAGACGATATTCGACGCCTTCGTGTCCACACGCGTCTTGTCCCCCTTCACGAGCACGAGACCAGACTGACGGATAAAAGCTTTCCCTGCCTTGCCTTCAAGCTTGAGTTCATCGCGAATACATTGAACCGAGATAGTTGGGCGATACCTATGGAGACAAACGAAAAAACAATAACGTCAGTGACAACAATCGCAGGCAAAAGAACTGCTTTCACGCGAACGTACGCTTTGCACATAGCTCGGAGTGCGTTTAGCCGGATCGCGGGGACCATTACGTCCATCAGGTAACCTGCCATATTCGGAGCACCTACATAGAGTTTGAAAAAACGATGGTAATCATTCATAGCAACCGCCTGGCGCACTGCCAGCGCGTGGGCGATCGCCGGGTCGGCACGTAGCTTGGGTGTTACCATGCCCAGCACGTGGTACATGCCAAGCTGGCCCGCGTTCGAGTCCCCCTTCTTGGCTTGCAGAGACACGTACACACAATACAAAATGCGGTACGCGAGGAACTCGATCGCCTCGCCTGGGATCAGCCTCTCATACAGTTCGTGGAGTTGCGTCTGGCACTGGTTAAACTCGTTGATATCGCCGGACTCGAGTGCGACCCGCGCGTGGGTTTCGTACACTGACACTGTGAAGTCGTTCTTGATATGCTGCACCGTGCAGTCCTGGCGGATGGACTTGAGTTGGCTACAGGCATAAATATAATCGCGGTCACCCTTCTTCCACTTCGATTTGACGAGTTCCAGCGCCTTGTGCAGCACTGGCTCGGGTCGCACCGTCGATGGATGCGGGGGAGAGGTTAATCGCAAGTATTCCTTTTCAACCGTCTCACTAGTACCTTTGATGACCATGGCTGCCAGGTCCAGGTCTCCGTCCAGCGTCAGCACCTGCAGCCGCTTGGTATCCACCTCGGGGGTCACCAAGCTCTTAAGTTCCTGCTGGGTCATATGGAAGCGTTGTCTTCTCTGGTTCTTGCGCTGCAGGTCAGCGTGGTCGACCTCCACGCCGTCGTGCTTGCGCTTGTTCATCTTGTTCTTCTTCTTGCCCGTGGGCTCTTTGAAAGGCACAAAGCCCTGCGTGGGCTGGAAACTATTGCTACTAGGCGAAGATGCAAACCTGTGGCCCGCCGCTTCGGGCGCGGGCCCCCCCTTCATCCCCGTCTGGGTCTGCATGGCCACTACCGGGGTGTCCCCCACCAGCACCGGCAGCGGCTCTGCGGGCCAATTCTTCGTCCACAAACTGTTCGTCATAATGGCGTTGGTGATCATCTCCTTGAGGGAGTTCTGGGTAATGGCCTGGTCCGCCGCCCCCTTGCAGCGCGCGAACGCTCTCTTCACGTAGTCGTGCAGAGCGCCAGGCCACTTGGCGTTGCCTTCCATGGGCGGAGCAGCAGCGGGCGTCGGCGCGGAGAAGGCCCCAGGCGGCGGCGGGCCGAAGCTCCTGGGAGGGGGCCCGCGGCTCTGCGGACTGATATTGAACCGCACAGGAGGCGCCGGCTTGGCTGGGGCTGAGCTCTGCGCGCTGGCGCCGTTGCCCCACTGCCACTGGGGCGCGGAGGGCGCCGGGCGAGGCGGCGGGCGCATCATGCGCGGCGGCCCGCGGTCGTTGAACGCGAACTGCGGCGGCGGCGGCGGGCGAGCGAAGCCATTGGCCAGATGCGGAGGGCGAGGCGGCGGCGGACGAGCGAAGCCGTTGGACGGATGCGGCGGGAAGAACTGCGCCTGGTTCGGGGCCTGAGACGCGGGGGACGGCGACGCGTAGAAGGACGAGTAGCCGGCGAAGCGCGCGGCGGCGGCGGCGGCGGCCTGCTTGGCGGCGAGACCCGGTGGGTTGGACGACATGACGAGCTTCCGGCCTTCTCGGTGGCGGGGTATATCTGGACTGGCGGCGGAAACCGCGCTCCCATCAGAAACAAACGGCCAATGAGATCGTTGCACAAGGCGTCTTTTCGTCCAATGACAACACGCGCACTCTGTTCGCTTTGCTCCTTCCTACCTCACACGTCAGGCAGGAACTAAGAACTAATAACTGGTCGAAGATGGTGATGAACACGATCGTCCGCCGAGTGGCTCGCTCGGCCGCGCGCGGCAGCCAGCGCGTGGCCTTCGCCGTGCAGCGCGCTGCCGCCCCCGCGCTTGTTGTGGCCGCGCAGCAGCCGCGCTTCTTCTCGGCCAAGCCCGGCGACGACGACGACTCGCACTCGGACTTCCAGCCCCAATACCACGCCGCCAAGTCCACGGAGAAGGACGAGATCCTCAAGATGATCGAGAGCCACGTCAAGACGTACCCGGTCATGCTGTACATGAAAGGGACGCCGTCGGCCCCGCAGTGCGGCTTCAGCATGCAGGTGGTGCGCATCCTGCACGCGCAGGGCGTGAGCTTCGACAGCGTCAACGTGCTGGACCACCCGGAGATCCGTGATGGCGTCAAGGAGTACTCGTACGTGGCTTGCGATTGGTGGAAAATGCAGGCGACAATGTACTGACTGACCTGGTGGTGTGTTTTGTGTGTGCTGCTGCTGCTGCTGTAGGCAATGGCCGACGATCCCGCAGCTGTACGTGAACGGCGAGTTCGTGGGCGGCTGCGACATCATCACGGACATGAGCAAGTCGGGCGAGCTGGCCGAGCTGCTGGCGGACTTCA